GCGAAAGTGTTTCACATAGATTGGTAATTCACAAAGTTGAGGGTAAGAAACATACCCACAAGGAAAAAATCATAAGATACCTGTGGTTGGACGGCTATGGGTTTGATCTGATAACCTTCGTCTTCTTCGCCCAGAGACAGAGCTTCAAGGTTTCATTCCATGGTGAAAACGATCACCGATGTTGCTAGGTTAAGGCTAGGAAATGATTAGGTTGTGGAGGCTAAACCTAGGTTTAGGGAAAGAGAGAACATGCTACGAGAGCATATGAACGGCTATCTCTATTTTGTATTTAATAAATTATTTTTAATAAATTATATAGTCCAATCTCAATTATAGTCTTAAATGCCTATAAATATAGTGAAGAATCAACAACAAAATTGTCCAAAAATAGTAAATATGATCTTTTAATCAATTGAAGCAATTTTAGGAATTAAATTGATCAAAAAAACTGACTTTTTAATTCCGCTAAATAGATTCAGGGGCTAAGTTAACTTTTATCTATATTTTTATTGAATAATAGAAAATTTTTTGTTGAAAATTTTAATGAATGAAAATAACATTTAACTTTTATAGTTTCTATATTGGCTAAATACATAGTAACTCTTGTGTAAATTTGATGAAAAATCTTGTGATATTTCAAACTCTGCAAGCAACCTATCTTATTGGTAAAATTATGAATTTTAATAGCATTACACATTATTCCATTAATAATTTTTAGTAATAAGTAAAATATTAATTCAGTATGTAACTAATATAATTTTTATAATAATAATTTTTAAAATTTTCAACTACTTAAGAAGTGATTATCAATTAGGGCTAATGATGATGAACAATAGGTAATGCTACTTGTTGGATTTCTAGGTACGGATCTAAACATCATTTCATGTATTAAATTTTAACTTCTTCTCACTCATATAAATTGGTTTCATTATATTTTTATTACAATTATTATTATTATTTATTTATTTAGTAGAAGATCATCATTTTCTATAAGAAAATCATTATTATTTTTTTTATTGTTGAGTGAATACTTTTTTAGTTTATGATGAAAATTAAATTCTATAAATTATTATCTAGTTAATCATTATTTTTAATTAATTCTTGTATTCAATTTTTTTTGATTGAGAATTAAAATAACAATAAGCATCGTTTTTTGTGAATAATAAAAATTATAAATTGAATAACGACTAGTTAAAATAAGAAACAACACATGCAATACATTTTCTTAAATACTTATTTATGAAAAAGTAAAGATAAAACTTATATATTTAGGAACTCTATTTTCTTGAAAAGTAGAATTTATATACAAATTAAATATTAAAAACTTAATTTTCAATCACTTTTCCGTGAGATTTCGACAACCAAATGACTCTGAATCAGACTTTTAGAGCTCTTATCTTTTTCATATTTTTCTTTTGGAGAAATTTGTAGAAGCTAAAGGTTCACGTAAGCCTATACCAATAATAGGATGGTTATCGCTTTCAAATCCACGTTTGATTTATTTTTATTTCTAATCTTACTTAATTTATTATGGCCTCTAAGTGCTTTAGTTCCTCGTGATTTTCGTGTAGCAAGTAGCTTTCAACAAGAGATTTATAATTGTAAAAGTAGCTTTCCAGAAAAGACTTGTTATTGAACAAGAATTCAATAATTAAGGAGTCCCCATGCATAAATACATTACACTTGAGGCAGTGTTTGGCGTGTTGAATAAACTTTAATATAGCCCAGATTTATTGTTCATAGAATTTGTTTGACAAGAATATACAATAATTGGAAGCGTACCTTGATCCATAACGGCAGATTGTTTTGACAAGAATATACAGATAATTGGAAGCGTACCTTGTCCATAACGGCAAGATTTATGTTATGGGTTATCTTGTTGGGACAATTCGATTCTCACCGTAACAGTAAGATTTAATGGTTTCCTTCACTCTGGCCTTTTGTCCGTAAGTTGCCTCTCTTAATGGTCAGAGAATAATCAATAGCTGCGGGAGTTTCTTTTATTGAGCTCTCTTAAACAAACTATTTCCCGTATGTGTTTGGAGGGACCGTCACAACTCTCTTGTTTTCTGTGTTAACCCTAATCTGTTGATTCTTTTTCTTCTTAAGGCAGAAGTGAAGGGTATTAAAACCCTTAACTTGAATCTTTATCCATTAAGCCCAATAACCATCATCCTTGGGCCACCTTAATTTTAGAACCAGCCCTTTAATCACATGGGCCAGCATACAGATTATAAAATAATTAACAACTCCCACTTGGCCCATGTGCATTTGAGTCTATCATGTTTACCTTAATTTGAATTAAGATGATCGGATTATGGCGGTCACAAGTCATTGAACAACATGATTCCTTCCATATATCACAGTGTGAATACTCAAATTTTGAGGCTCAAAAAGCCTATTTTTTCGGACTGCAAACAGTCCGGCCGGACTGGAGGTCATTCGGAAAGTTCACCGAAAGTATGCCAATATGGTACTTGAAACGTCCGGAAAATTGTGAGGATCGCACAACTGGTCCCGGAATATTTTTGGAGGTACGGAACTCCCAAAAAAGCCTCCGGAATGAAAAACTAGGAAGTCCGCTGGCCAGGGCGGTAGCGCCCGCCGACCGCAGCGGCAGCGCCCGCCCTCCAGCCCGTTTTTTCCTATAAAATCAGCCCCGATGCGACTTTTTTACTCACTCAGTCTGTGTTGACGGACGCTCTCGACGGACGCTCTATTCTCCCCTACGTCCTTTGTCGGTTCTTTTACTGCTTTTTTCTGGCATTTAGGTTAGGCTTTTATTATTCTGCTGTTGTGATACTTGGTTCACTTAATTAAATTAATTCTAATTAAATATTCCGCCAAACGAGGAGCTTAATGCAGGAGTTTTCAAGCTGAAGCTAAGAAGCGGGTCCGCGCTCGATGTGACTCAGGTGAAATAACGAACCCTGCCTATTTAATTTCAAGCATTTCATGATATTCTCTTCTACTCCTAATTCTACAAACCGCAATTCAGCACCATCATCATCATTGTTGGCAAATAAAATTGCCTTAAGTGAATTAAGTTTTAGGCCTAAGATGCCGGTTAATCAATAATGTGGTAATTCCATGCCAACTCACGAACATATTGGCTAAAGTATCTGGTCCAATTAATGATAGGTAAAATAATCGCCTTTATTTCAACAGTCCGGCTGGTAAGTCCAAATCCAATCAATAATTTGTTATGGCTAATGGCCTTAATTAAACAACGTATTTTTGGCAATCAAATTGGCCTATATTGCAAATCAATTGATTACTTTTTGGCATAACAAATTGCCTATAAGTAGATTAATCATTTTTAGCGACAATCGCTTAAATCGAAACAGCTTCGGCAAAATGGCCTTGAATTAATCAATCCTTTGGCGAAAGGCCTTAAAATCACTCATTTTGGCGACGATGCGCCCAATCAACACTTTTGGCAAAGCAAATTGCTAAATCAACTCATTTTTGGCTAAAAGCCTTCAAAATAATCATTTGGCGACAATCATTGTCTAAATCACAATCAACTTTTCGGCAACAATTGCCTAAATCAATCTATTTGGCTAAAGCCTTAAATTCAACCACTTTTGGCAACAAATGCCTTAAAACAGAAAATCTAATCAATTCTTTGGCAAAATGCTAAAACAAAATGCACAAAGCAATACAACAACACTCATGCATTAAGCATATAACATTCAAGCGCGTTAAAAAGGCCTATCGAACTATGTTGAATTTTTGATTCTTCCATTCAAAACGAAAGTACGTAGGCACGTTTTGGGATTTAACCCTGGAGCGACAAGTCAAAATCACTTAAACATTTCATTTGGTGCCAATTAAACATATTTATTGCAAAGCATTCATTCATTGGTTAGTTTAATCAGCCATGACATAAGTCTCGGGATCGCACCTCGGGTTTTCGTAGAATTGTGCCTTAAACATTGGGATAATTAAATCTAGTTAATTAGGTTAATTAAAATAATTAAACAGGTGTGCGACTTCATACATTTCATGTGGGCCAAAAAAAAAATTTTTTCTTCCCCTGCCCTTAGTCAATATGCATTTATATGCCCTATCATTTTTCGGGGGAGGGTTCACAGTTTGGTGACTTCTGCTGGGGAGTGTTGTAATTCATTTTGCATAAAGTGGATACAATCTGTTGTTTGTAAACTAACCTGGCTTCCCTTCTTTAAGGTATTAATTTTACTTATGGGCTTTGTTTTGCCAGGGTACCCTCCAGACAAAAAGATTAAGTATTAGCTTTCTTTAAGTAATGCTTAATAAGGAGAATTTGGACCTAATTTGAAATTATACTTTAAATTCACTTTAAAAATTTGTTTTAATTTATTTGCAACGAATTGAGAATCTTTTTCTCCATTGCACCTAAAAACGAATTTCAAAATGAATTCTTTCTCTCTCTCCTGTTCAAACTTCTGAGTCTGAATAGCAAGTAGCGCTGATCGGCAAGGTCTTCTTGATTACTGTTTGACGGACAGACAAAAAGCGTCCTACCTGTTTACCCGGCAAACTATCCCTAATTCCTTTTGGGGGTGGCCCATGAGTATGCGTACTGTTGGCCCACGCGAAACTCTTTGTTTCCACATGTGGTTAGGTAATAATCCTTACTCAAGGTTCAAGGGTTTCTATTTGTGTCATAGCCTATAGAACCTATCCTTTAGGGCTGTATGCACCCAATGATGTGAATCATATCATTAAAACGAATTATGACGTGATATTGTCCGCATTCATGACATATCATCTCATAAACATTAAAAATATTAAAAAGAGCATAAAATTTTCTTTTTAGTCATGCACAATTGGACAAGGGAGTCGACCTACCTCACATTCAGCTACCCTGATACACAATACTACCCACTGTACCCTAACCCAGCTACCCTTTATCCTATCAGGTACCCACTGTTCGAGTGCCTATCCAAGTTCCAGTCACACCTACAGTGCTGTCACCAACCTCACCAGCTTCACCAACCTCACCACCTGCATCAATGGCATCAATCTCTAACATCCAAAACCTTATGAGCCAACTGGAGAAGACAAAGGGCCAGCCTCTCTTTCAGGTCAACCCTGAGAATGCCCACCTGCCCCTCTCAGGATTTCAATATCACACAGTACAGTGCATAGAGGGAAAAACTGCAAACTCTCGAATTCTCTTTGATTTCGGGACGATGCAAAGTGCCTTTGATGCTGAGAATGTCCTACCTGCCAGGAATGGTTATGGCAAGGTCCGGAAAGACATACCCCGCACTGCAAGCTCGGGAATGTCCAGTGAATAAAGGGACTTTTGGGCTAGGATATAAGCCCACTGATGAAGACCTAGCTGGAAGGACCGGGAGAAGAAAGAAGAAGAGTGTACAGATGCGGCCTTACCTTTTGACTTTGAATGGTCATTTCTGGTCACTTCTTGCAAACTGGAGAACGATTCCTTATCGTGGCTTCCAGAAACCAATTTTCTTGTCCCGACTGCTAAGGAAGATGCTACTGGGTTAAGAAATATTTTCTAATGTCTGGGGAAACAGCCCAAACAATAATGAACTGGAAAGGTGGAACGACTTCATGCAGGCCAGTCTCTTTGACGAGGTTGCGGTCATTACAGGAAATGATGGAAACAAGACCTTGCTGAGCCTGATCAAGCCGTACCAAAGGGCCTCTCACCAACTGGTAGCCGAGGAGGAGCGCGCTGCTGATAAACCCCTCCCGAGTCAAACCTAGAGTCAAAGTCTGTAATCAGTCTGTCTGAGTCTGAGTCTAACCCCGGTTGAAACTGAGTTCAGAGTTCCAGTTACAGTTCTGAGTCGTCTGTGGTCCCGGATTTAGAAAATCCGACTTCAAATTTGAATGTAAATTTTTGAGGACGACGTTCCGTCCTAATCAATAATGAGCTTTGCCAAATTATTGGCTAACCCCGCGTGTCTACTTTTTTCCAAGCATATCCTAGGAAAAATAATGAAAAAGAAATAAATGAAATAAAAAATGAAAAAGAGAAAATAATCATTGGCAAAGAAAAAAATGTGAACATACATACATTGCATCTGACTGTGTGAACAGGGAACAAGTCAGTAAATGTTTGAAGAAGTTTGCCGATTGTTTCATGTGGAAGGCAAGTGACATCACGGGAAATGACCCGGCAATAGCGGTGCATAAGATTTCAGTATACCCTGAGGTTAGGCCAGTGAAACAGAAGCTAAGAATGCTGAAAACAGAATGGTCCTTGAAAATCAAGGAGGAAGTAGTTAAGCAATTGGAGAATAAGTTCATAGAACCCATTGCCTACCCGACGTGGTTAGCAAATATTGTGCCGGTGCCGAAAAAAGATGGCAAAGTCAGGATGTGTGTGGATTACCGGGATTTGAATAAAGCATGCCCGAAGGACGACTTCCCCCTGCCGCATTGTGAATACTCAAATTTTGAGGCTCTAAAAGCCAGTTTTCCCGGCCGCGGCGATGGCGGCCTCCCTTAAAGGCGGCGGTAGCCGCTATCATGATGCATTTGCCAAAAAAAAAGAAAAAAACAAAAAAGAGAAAACGGCATTCTCACGGAGTGGGGAACCTACTGCTACAGGGTGTTTATGCCTTGTTGGGCTCAAAAAAATGCGGGGGACCCTATCAAAGAATGGCAGACGACGCATCTTCCATGACAATTTGATTCCACAAAGAAGTAGAAGTGTTATGTAGACGATATGGTTTGTTAAATCAAACAGATGAAGAAACCATACAAAAAGCACTTGAGAAGTTTCTTCCCTTAGACTTCGAAAGTACAATTAAAGCCTCAACCTGGCAAAAATGTCTTGTGTTGGAGCCTACATGCCGGAGTATTTCTGGGGGCCCCAATTTATGGCAGTCGGAAGGGCATAGAGATTGACCCGTCGAAAGCCAAAGCTATTCTGGAAATGCCAGCACCTCAGACAGAAAAAGAAGTTCGGGGTTTCCTAGGAAGACTACAGTACATTAGCCGGTTCATCAGTCAATTGGCCGATACTTGTTGTCCGATCTTCAAATTGCTCAGGAAAGGAGTAGCCGTTAAATGGAATGAGGATTGTCAGAAGGCTTACGACCAAGTCACGCAATATCTGTTATCCCCGCCAGTGTTACAGCCACCAAGGCTAGGAAAGCCTTTGCTATTGTACCTATCAGTGACGGAAGAAGCGATTAGAAGAAGTGGATGGGTGCAATGCTAGCTCAACAAGCAAGAAGACACCAGGGTAGAAAATGGCCGCTGTACTAACCTCAGCAAAGGATGCTAGACTACGAGCTAAAATACCAATAAGATAGAGAAAGTTTTGTGTCCTGGGCTCCTAGTTTGGGCTTTGTGCAGAAGCTACAAGACTACTCTCCGTCCTATACACCACATAAGTTATTTCTGAATCGAACCCCTTGAAATTCCTTGTGGAGAGGCCCGGTTCTCTTGGACAGTAAGATGGGCTAAGTGGGTGTCGGTGCTTCGCAGGGCCCTAATGATTTAAAATTTGTAACCAACGGAAGGCAGTGAAAGGCGGAGCCTTGGCTGAATCATTAGTTCCAGAATTACTGGTCAGAACCATGTCGGAGGTAGAATTTTTCCTGATGAAGAACTTGTTGAGCTTTCGAAAGTGGGAGTCTGGGAAATGTACTTCGATGGAGCTTCAAACTCCATGGAAATGGGGTTGGAAGTCGTCAATTCATAATAACTCCTTGTGGAGAATACGTCCCAATCGGCAGTCAAAATTAGATTTCGACTTGCACCAAACAATGAAGCCGAGTATGAAGCCTTGCATAAAGGGGTTAAGAAGCAGCCTGGAAAAGGGGAAATAAGCGTCTCAAAGGTTTTCGAGGATTCCAATTTAAATAGCTCTCCAGCTTTGGAGAAAATGGGAAAATTAAGGAAGTAGCGTTTGGGTTCCTTACTATAACGCTTGGAGATATTTTGGCTCAGTAAGTTTGAGGATTTATCCTTTCCACTACTTGCCACGAGTTCCAAAAATCAGTTTTTGCTGATGCTCTGGCTACTTTGGCCTCCCATGGTTTTAATTATAGGGGGAGACCAAGTCATTCGACCTCTTGACAAGTTTCGCTTACATGAAACTAGCCAGCAACAATCATGAATTTGGTGGATGACAAGGCCCTGGTATTGGGATATTACAGAATTATAATTTCAAATGAAGCCTACACGGAGGGATCCCACCAAGACTGATCATACAGACATTGAGACAGTTAGGCATCCGGATATTTCCTTTACTGGGGGAGTTCTGTATAAAAGAAGTTGTAATGGCCTGCACCTAAGTGCGTTGATGAGGCAGAAGCTCAAACCATCATGGATTCTTTACATAATGGGGAGTCTGGTCGCACACCATGCACGGGTAGCATTGGCTTCGGAAGAATTCGTGAACCTGGGTTATTACTGGGTCAACCATGAATTGCAGATTGGCCAATGAGGGCACGCGCAGAAGTGTCCATGAGTGTCAAATTTTTTTTTGCCTAAGCTGCAAAGACAGCCTGCCGGTCATTTGATCCTATTGTTCACATGGCCTTTCGCAACTTGGGGGCATAGACGTGATTGGAAAATCCACCGCAAAGGCTTCAATGGTCCCAATTTGTCCTGGTCGGCTGTTGATTATTTCACTAAGTGGATTGAGGCAAGCCTCCTATTCGGTCTTGAATGCCAAGAAGGCAGCACAGTCTTCGTTCATATCAACCATCCCTTTGTCGGTATGGAATGGCCATTCGAGATTATTACGGATAACGGGTGCCCAGCTTTCAAATTGGAATTTTCTGACCTGCTGAAGCAAAAGAAGATTTCAGCATCACAAGTCCTTCACCCTATAGGCCACAAACAAATGGGGCTGTGGAAAGCTTGCAATAAGGCTATAAAAGGTCATTGCTAACAAAAGACAGTTCAAAATCCTAAAGCTTTGGCATGAACAGTTCTGAATGCCCTATGGGGATACAGGACTTCAATCAGAACGCTACTTGGGGCAACCCCGTATTCCTTAGTGTATGGTATGGGAAGCAGTTGTTGCCTATTGAGCTGGAAGTTCAGTCGGCGAGGATTTCCGCGAAAGCCAAGATTCAGCGAAGCAGAATTGGGCTATAGAATTATCATTTGCAATCTTGGGTACGGACGGAAAAACGATTGCAAGCGATCCACCAAACTCAAGTTTCCAAAGAAAGAATGGCACGACATTTTAATAAGAAGGTCAAAGACCGAAAACTAGAAGAAGGTTTGTTTGGTCCTGAAGGAAATTAGACAGCCATATCAATAAAGACCGCACGTGGGAAGTTTCGTCTCATTGGGCCTGGACCCTTTAATGTGTTGAAGAAATATTGTTCTCTAGCGGAGCCGTCATTTTGACTGATTTGGGATGGTTTGGAATTCACGATCCATGGGTATTTTAGCATAGTTAAAAAGATATTTTGGTATAATAAGCATTGCATAAATGTAAAAGAGCTACATTAGACTGATTCTTCCTCGAAAAAGAAAATTGGTGGTATTGGAGATATGTAAGCCAGCCCTCTTCGGCGCGGTCCTAAGCATTAATAAAAAAATATTTCATATTTCATTCTTCTTCTTTGCCTAAAAACAAAAAAAAAAAGGGAAAAGAGGAAAGAAAAAAGTGAAGAAAAGAAGTTAAAAAAAAAAAAAAAGAAAACACGCTAAGGTCGAAACCCGAAAGGGCGGCTTAGGCAAAAGTTCGGGGCCCGCTAAGCTGAAAACCCGAAAGGGCGGCTTTAGGCAAAAAATGGGTAAGCTCACTAGTTGAAAACCCCGAAAGCGGCACTTAGGCAAAAAATTAGAGCCTGCATAAATAAGTTGGATAAATGCTTGGAAAGCTTAAGAGGTCAAATGAATTCCCAATTAAAGCAATAAAAGTCAAGCAGTCCGAAGTCAAGCAGAGAAGCAAAAGAAGTTTCTCAAGAAAAAATAAATAATAATGAAGTCTCAAGTCAAAGTCCAAAAAAAAAAAAAAACAGAGCATACATCCAAGCCAAAGAACCAAAATCCAAAAATCCAAAGTCAAAGTTCCTAAAATAAAAAAGTTCAAAAAAGTTCAAAATTATAGGTGAAAAACAACAAAATTTGCAAAAAAGCCTATAGAGTCTGGTGTCCCGTCGCCTCCGTTGGGGCAACATCTCGAGTCATCCTAGCTGCTGAACTCTTCTCCAACCTCGCCTGTCCGAGGAGCCAACACATCTCTCATCAAGTCAACCTCATTATCAGCGTCAACCTGAGCCCAACCTCAAGTGCACTTCAACAATGCGGTCCTTCCTTGGCCTCTTCATCGGCCTAAAACAACGGCAATGAACCAGGTCCGATACTCAGGAGAAGTCTGAACAACGGGCAAGGATTTAGGTAAAAGGCCTAACCATGTGATGGTCCTCTAACCCAAGCCCTAAAGAATGGCTCGGTAAACCCTGACTATGCCCGGAGTGATGAGTGCAATCAGCTGAAATGTCAATCCAGATCGGAAATAGTCTGGTCTATCCCATCTACCTCAAGCGCTTAAAAGTGAAAAAATATAGTAGGCATGAAAGAAACAAAAGAAGCGCAGTAACCAAAGTATAGTGTGTAAGGCCTAAAGGTAAACCCGAGTATGCGGAAGATAACCTGGATAAAGCGGGTGATTGTCATACCAGGAAATGTTACGCACAGTTACCGGTCAATTTGGGACCTAACTCAATCAGCCATGAAGGTTCCATGCGTCAGTAGACGGGTGAGTGATCCAGGATCCTCCACATAACGATACTGAGGGGGTTGTAAGGCAAGAAAGTAGGAGCAGCAACCACATTGGAGATGGTCCCTTTAACCAACCTGAGTATGGATCCTTTCTATTATAAAGACAAACCAAAAGAAAGAAAAAAAAGAAAGAGAAAAAGGTTGAAATACCGTGGAGAACCAATCGTAGAGACGCGTCCAGTCATCGAAGCCTAAGCAGCTCTGTCAGGCCTCCCTGATAGTCTCTGGCCAGCACAATGCCGCCGATGGCAACCCATATCCTCCACTGCCCGATCAAATGGGGCCAGAGTCGCAAATCCCCAACGCCTGGATCCTTGTTGAAACATGAACAAGCTAATAAGCCAGAAAACCAAGGCCGCATTCTCAAGCCTCATCGGTCTGGATTCGTCTGAGTGAACCTCTGAAAATTTCGTCCAATCAGGGCGCAGAATTGCTTTCTGGTCACCAAGCAATCATGGCCCTAGCCTTGTGGCCGGCTGAACTTTGAAAACAGGCTTTCAAAACGACCGACATACCAATTTTGTACCTCATGCTTGACTAAAGGGGCATTAGGATCGCACGCCTATTAATAGCGCAGAATTTCCTCAAAAAAGAGGGCACATCTTCCATCTGCCGAATCATGGGGCAGAGTCGCAAATCCCCCAAAGCCTGGATCCTTGTTGAACAGAAACAAGCTAATAAGCAAGAAAACCCACAGGCCCGCATTCTCCAGCCATCATCGGTTCTGGATCGTCTGAAGTGAACCTCTTG